CGATTCGTATTTGACAAGATTACAAATCTGTGCACGAGACTGCAGTTTTGCAAACACAGACGAAATGATAAGGGACCGTATTGTATTTGGCACAAATTTTTCTAAGGTTCGAGAGAGGCTAATTAACGAGGGTGCAGATTTGACCTTAGATAAAGCTGTACAAATCGCTCAAAATATGGAATATTCAAAAAAGCAATTGAGTTCAATGGCATGTGCGGCGGACAAGGACGTTCACCACATGGCGAGCAGGCGCGTAGCTAGCCTATAAAGAATGTGGATTCAAAAGTATCCAGGGGGGTCATGGGGCATGCCCCCCCCCCCCCTGAAATTTTGAAATAAATGGTGCGTTTTGGGGCCTCCGGAGAGCTTTCTTGACCAACGAAAATCCATATATTTTAGCATAAAAATGGAGATGAATAGCTTTACTTTCGTTTATTTCAACTAGTCTACATTTCACAGCAAGTCTAACTTGCGGCCTTTACCTCTTTTCTATCGCTGATTCTGCTGATGACTTCTTTAAGAACTCGATGTAAACATTTGTTTACATTTCGAAAATACGGCGCGTGCAAACTTCCGACTTTGAAGAGCTGCAAAGGCCGACAACTTTTCAAAAAAATACTACGGTATGGTGTACGATTTAGGCTATATGATTTATAAAGTATTCAGTGTGGTAATTATCAGATCTGGCGAACGCGGCTGAATTTCAAACCACATTTTTTTTACTAAAAAATTTTTTTTTGTCAAAATAATGTGGATTCAGCTGCGTACTCGCGTATAGGCAGCTACGCGCCTGGGCCGAGGCCTAGTCCCAAGGCGGGAAAAGCCACAAGACAGTGACGAGAAAGTGACCTGTTCTAGATGCGGGACAACACATCAAGAGGGCAAAACGTGTCAAGCAAAGGGATAAACGTGCAGAAAATGTGACAAACTGAATCATTTCCAGAAAATGTGTAAATCACGTAATACTGTACATGAACAATATAAATTGTGAGTCGGACTTATCGAGTGACGATCAGGATTTTTATGTATGCACGGTAAATGATTTCATTACTTCTCGACCTGATTGCGCAATGGTTAAGCTCCAAATTGGATGAAAGTCCGCCCCTGTAAATTTCAAAATAGATACAGGTTCTCAATGTAACTTGATACCTTAGGAAATGCTCAAGAAACTAGATTTCAAAGGCCCCTTGGTACCCTCTGATGATAGGTTATCTTCATACACCTAAGACCCTATTCCAGTTTATGGAAAGGTCAACTAACCCTGTAGGTTTAAGGATAAGGAAATCATTGCATGTTTTCATGTGGTAGGCAGTAAATCTCCAGCATTATTAAGCTTCAATAGATCTGAGATTGATAAAACTGACATATGCTATAGAAAAACAACCGGTCACGTTAGATAAACAAAAAATATTGACTGATTACAATGACGTATTTAAAGGCATTGGTTTATTCCCGGGTACATGCAGTTTACTATTTCATGTTTAAATGTTGAATTCTGCTTTTAAGCCGGTGCTAGGGGGCGTGGACGGTAACTTGCACTTACCATTACCGTCCATGAACAGGCTCAATCAAACCGAGCCTGCAACATTTTCAATTTTGCCGTGTTGGGCTTTCTTTGGGGACTCTGTATTTATCTATTTTACATTTGAAACCAAAAGCTATACCTGTATTATGTCCACCCAGGCGTGTACCTGTAGCTTTACAGGACCGTTTAAAAAATGAGTTGAAGTCTATGGAGGATAAAGGAATTATCCAAAAGGTTACTAGACCGACTGACTGGGTCATTCATTAGCCTGTGTGGAAAAACCCAGCACTGGAAAGCTGAGGGTGTGCTTAGATCCTAAAGCACTAAATGACAATATCATGAGACCGCACTACCCTATGAGGACTATAGAAGACATGACAAACCAATTGACAGGTGCTAAGTACTTCAGTGACTTAGACGCAACGAAAGGTTATTGGTCGATAAAATTGACGTACGAATCCTCATATTTGACGACATTTAATAGTCCCTTCGGTAGATACCGATATTTGCAGCTTCCTATGGGTATAAAAAGTTCCCAAGACATATTTTGTCAAAAAATCGACGAATTTTTCGAGGATGTGATGGGCGTTACGTCAATAGTAGACGATCTTCTTGTGTACGGACGGACTATCGAAGAGCGCGATGCAAATCTGACACGTGTTCTTGACCGAGCACGTGAAAAGGGTATTAGGTTTAACCCAGACAAATGTGTAATCGGCTCTCAGGAAGTAAAATACTTTGGTCACGTACTGATAGCTGACGGTCTTAAGCCTTATCCCGAAAAAATCAGGGCAATTGTAGAACTGAAAGCCCCTGAAAATAAGTCAGAGTTAGAAACTATTCTTGGCATGATCACGTATCTGTCAAAATTTGATTCAAAATTGGCAGAAATGGTAAGCCCTATACTTGACTTTGCATGCGGTTTAAAGCACATGAAAGGGAATTCAATTACGGAGGGAACCGAGTCAGGGATTTATGTTTGCTCAATCAGCGACTTAAACTGCATCAAAGAACTTGACCCCTACAGAGAGAGGTTATGCTCAAATAGAAAAAGAGACATTAGCTATACTTCATGGTCTTCGACGTTTCAAGCAATACTCTTACGCAAGACATACTAAAGTTGAATCTGATTGCAAACCTGTTGTTTCCGTTATGAAAAAAGAAACATGACTGGCGACCCCAAGACTACAACGTCTCTTATTACAGATTCAACAGTTCGACTGTCATTTCAAGTTCATTGCGAACTGAAATGATTAACGCTGTTCATGTAGGTCATATGGGAGTGACTAAAACGCTGAACAGGGCCAAGGATATTCTGTTCTGGCCAGGCATGGTCAAACAGGTCACAGACCACGTGTTAGCATGCCCTTTATGTCTAACACACAGAGCATCAAATGTGAAGGAACCATTAAATCCCCACATTATGCCCAAAGACCCTGGCAACATATTGCCGCTGACTTATTCACGCTTGACGGACGTGATTACCTTATAACTGCGGACGTCTACAGTAATTACTTTTGAAGCCGATGCATTGCCAGAAACAAAAAGTAAAACTGTTATTAGAAAATAAACAATGCATATGGCTCGCTAGGGTCAAGTAGAGACATTTAAAAGTGAAAATGGGCCACAGTTTAGCTCAGAAGAATTTCAAAAATTTGCTTCTGAGTGGAATTTTAAGCATGTAACATCTTCTCCTAGATATAGCCAATCCAATGTTTTAAGAGAAAAAATGGTCTCAATAGCCAAAAAATCAATGAAAAATGCCACGAAACCAAAACAGACCCATATTTTCAGGATTTTTCGATATATCTATTTGCTTGAAACAAGGCGACCAACTTTTCACCATAATATTTATACTCTTCACAAATGGTGTATTCAAAAACAACGACCTTAATAGTAAATGATACCAATTATGTCTATTCATGTTGCTTTTTTGCAGATGGTGTGGTTGTATTTTCTACCGATCCTATAATACTTTACAGGACGCATACCAATATTCGAAAGAATAGGATCAAAAGATCAATTCTAAGAACCAAAACTGTATTCATGAAAAAGCAAATTTTTAGAGCGAAGACAATATTGGTATTGTAGACATTTTATTTTACCTGGGAGAGACTTGTTTCAAATGGTAATATTGCTTAAAGAGGCCAGATTCTTTCTGACCAGGCTTTGAAGGCAATGCACAATTTTGTCAGGTATTGTTTCACAAAAATACATATCAATATTAGAAAACAGCTGATTTTTTTATTCCCTTGTTGCAACAATTTTGCTTTATTTTCGGAAGTATGGAGTATGTGTTGTCCTAAAGAGGTTGATAAGTTTCACATAAACCTTTGCAAAATCATATTAGAAGTGAAAACACAGACTCCAAATTACGCTGTGTTAGGTGAATAAGGGAGTGAATAAGTTATTTTCAATAATTAGCAATATTGGGCAATTTCTGTTAAAATAACTTTTGTATAATTACGGTTTAAATGATATTTTGGATAATTTTAATAAAGATCCTTATGCGAAAACTGGCTGAAAGGGCCGGAAAGTCGCAATCGAGTAGGGATATTAGTTCGTCATCGGTGAAAAAGGGTTGCGGAAAGCGCCGGTTGCGTTACCAAAAAAAAAAAAAAAAAAAAAATATATATATATATATTTAACCGACTTTCTAAATCATTATGGCGGGTTCTTTTCATATCAGGTCATCTAAAATGCTATTTTTGTCGTATTTGTTGTCATTAAAATCTATTTGCCTATTTTTGTCGAGAGACCTTTAAATACGTTTATTATTTGACATAAGCGGACGCTTTTTGATTAGTTCTATTAAACTGTTATATTTCTCTGCGTCGTCATTTGAATCGCAGACACTACACACAATAAATAACATAATGAATTCAACCGAGTGATCAATCAGATATTTATTTCAACCTTCTAAAACGCCCCTTTTACCTGCCTTTTTAAGTAAAGAAAAACAAAATTCATCCGGCGTAATACACACTGCCTGTAGTGACAGTACATTCTATATAATATCAAGTATTTGACAGAGACAGCACATTCAGTATTGTTAATTATCTTTTTAAAGGAGAACTGACAATATTAAGATCATATGGTTACTTTCGAGCTTCTTACAAAGAAGACCTCAGGTGTCCCTATCTGCATTATCTGAAGAGCAAACGGGAATACTCGATAGCTTCCTCACACGAAAGAATCCAAGTGCACGGTCTAATACACGGTCGATATCCTATACGTCTCTTGTTTACAATTTGTCTCAGTTTTTTCATGAAAGGAATATTTTGAAAACCCTTTATTTTTTTCTATTTCATTTATTTTCCATCCCTGCAAGATCACGCATATTAAAAAAGTGATTTTTCTTTCAACATGTTGGAAATTATACATTGGAAAAAACACAACAAAAACCAATGAAAATGTTCACCTTGACAACCATATTCAGAAAATGCGAAAAAGGTCAATTTAAGGCATACAATACCTTCTATCCGTATTTAATTTAATCAACCGATATAAAGTTAAACACTAAAAGTAACTACTTAAATTTTTAAGAAACATTATCCATCGTAACTAATGGTATACTATTACCTAGACCGTAGTCATGTCCTTCTTTAGGTCTAATATCCGTATACAAATATACGCTTAAAAATGGGTATAGCTAATTTGATAAGATAGAATAGTTGCACAGTTCAGCAAATGTATTGTTTGGTTTTATTAAAATCAATTGCATACTGGTTATACAATCAATGCACCAATTGATTAATTACTTTCGGTAAGGTTCGTGAAATATACGCAGTGAGACGTGATTTAGTTTGTGTCTGTGAAGCAGTAATACATATCGTTAAAGAGCAATAGAGTAAACTACGGGTTAATAAGTTCTAATAGCTCAATTTATTTATTTTTTATTTACATTTTCAACAACATTGTATGTTTTCTATGTTCGTTTTGTTTTAATGTGCCTGCAAATATTTTGAATACATGTACGCTCTTTTGAAATAACATGGTTTAAGAAATGCATTAGGTTTAAAATCAGTTAGTGTCTCCATTTTAAAGCCGCAAAATACAATTCTTATTGAGATAAACAGTGCTTCTATAGATACCAGTGGATTCAAATCCCAGTAGACATTTTTTGTCTCATTTCCATTAAAATATACTTCAAAAATAAAGAGAGAGTATGTATAAAAATAGCAAAATGTAAGGATCAATGCACAAACCTCTGGTATACATTAGGCAATCATTGCTACTGCGCTTTTGCGGATGTGACGACGACCTTCACATCAAGCTGATGTGACTTTTCAAAACCTTATTTTTATACTTCATATTAATTCTCGTAAACTATACGGGCAGGACTAAACTGGGATCGAATATTTAAATGAGTGCCATTATAATGAATTCATTATTGACAGACCAATAAAATCTGTTCAACAGGGTGCAATCTTCGGTTATTTTTTTCTCCGTCGTAAGTTTTCTGCCGATGCAATGTTTTTTCTCAACAACGTTCATATACCGAAGGATATAGGGAGATGAATGGCTATCCATCCATGTATTTTATGCTTAATGAGGGTCCATCCGCCTATTAAGGCACAAAAAGCAGTTTTCGCTATCGAGTAAGGGCATCGGTCATGTCACCAGTCATGCCATTTAAGGGTTAGTTTTGAAGCAAAAAATGGTGATAATTACCTCCATGAAATTTCCATTGATAATGAGACAAAGATGTGAATTTTGAACCAAAACCGCAACTGTACGACGACCAATAAAATCTAATTATATATAGTAACCTGAGGCAATATGAAAAGCAAGTAACGCTGACAAAGGCTGTTGGTGCCAAGCAAAGGGCCTGCCTTTCAAGCCGTCACATTCTGTGCTAAGGGCTTACCTAGCACACTTTTCTCGTCTTTTCTGCCTACTTTGTAGAGCCACTCCCATCGGCCTTAGTCAGGATAAAAGGCAACTCATTCATGCAGACTTAATCTGGCTGCCTTAAACGTAAGTCATTAATATATCAACCTACGATAAATCATTAGTAATGTCCATTAGATAAAGGCTATAAGATGTAAGATAAACTCCGGGATTGATATTTTGACATATCTGCGTGATGGTAGAAGTTTGCATTTATTTTGATAAAGTCCATACTTTATTTATATAACATGTAAGAATAAATATCTTAAATTTAATTGGATTAAAAGATTTAAATCAATTAATGCCATTTCAATTCCGTATAATTAAATATACAAGGAGACCTAAGGGCCCTGGATCGCTCACCTGAGACATATAGCAAGAAAAAGGTCACACTCTTTATTTTTTAATTTTAAAGTCAGTGATGAGGTCAAATTGAGTTCGTCATGTTTTACCAAAGAAGCATATTCTTTCGAATTATATGCAGATGCTAAATGATATAAGTTCAAATTCTTAGCAATGCAGTTTCACAAAATAGGACTTAAATGTATTTTCCTGTATACAGGTCAATATAAACTAAGTGACCCTGAGACAGGGCCAATCTTAATCCCACGGACATTATTCATATAATATTTGTAGAGGACACCAAGGTGATTCTACATGCCAAATATCTAAGCTCTGGGAATTGCATTTTCAGAGAAGATTTAAAACATTTTTACTTAACAAGTCTATGTCCCGAGGCCGGCAAATTTTGACTCCAGTGATATGATAAATGTAAGCTTTGTAGAGGATCACAAGGTACCTACAAAATACCTAAACCTTTGGAAATGTTGTTTCTAAGGAGAAGTCTTTAAAGATATTTTTCAATACCAATCTATATGTTACTATATGATCCCCAGAATTTTGACACAACAGCCATGATTTATATTAATTTTGTGGGGTCCACATATCTATGCTCTGTCCAATGTAGTTTCATAAAGGAAGAATTAAATGTATTTCTATGCAAACTATGGTGAGGCCATTTTGAATTTATATTATTTGTAAAAGACCACACGGTGATGTTACATTGCAAATATTAAAGCTAAGGGCATTGTGCTTTGAAAGAAGACGATTATAAAGACAATACGAGTTTGGTAGGGTAGTGCCATTTTTAACACAATGGAAATTACTTGTATTACTTATTATGAGATCTACTAGGCAATGTTAATAGTCAAATATCTAAAATTTTGCCATAAAAGTTTCACAAAGGAAGACATGAACTATTTTCCAATACTAATACAAGTCAATATTAATTAAGTACTAATATAACACATGGACTTTGATGTACAACATTTAAATGGCAGTGTGACCTTTAAAATCAGAGAAGCTATGTGGGGTAAAAGCTACAGTTACCTTCAACTGTCACTGACTGACCCAAAATAGGGTCACCTATCATAACAAAACTCTTAACCAAACCATAGGATTGTAGGCTTCAGGATTTTCTAGCTTTTAGTTGTTAGGTTCGGTGACCTTTGACAACTGACTAAACTTTTATAGAAACTCCACTGACGTTCACAAACCTAAAATTTTGAAAGACAATTTTCTTACATAGATCAACTGGGATACTTTAAACAGAAAGATATACAAAATGATAGTTAGGAAAATATTCAATAAAATTTAAAATCGTATTTTAGTCCTATCTAAAGACCTGAGTATCTTAATTTTGCAGACAAGTTATTACTCTAGAACTGCATCAAATACGACATTTATCTCGATACATTTTTCTAGTCCCGTCATGGCAATAAATAAATTCAGTGAGGTTCCTTTGAAAGGGGTCATTCATCAATCATAACCAACTTTAATACCAAATCTAAGACCTCTACATCCAAGTGTTCTCTAGTATTTGGTAAGATAAGCATTTTGACATACTTACCCAAAAATCATTTACTAGTTCCAAACTTAATATAAGCTAGCTTTTCTAAAAATCAATTAGCTATGGACTATCTGTTGGAGAGTCAAAAATACTCTGTAAATAGTCCATATGACATTATTTTTCTTTAACATTTTTAATTATTTGTTGTGCCTGTAACAGCTTGTGACAAATACATCTTAAAAGTTTTAATTTTTTAAGTAAAAGTCAGGAGGAATGTCAGAGTATATAAATACATCATTCTGAAATTGTTATGTGTATAAATGTAGAAATACCGGATTTTTTAAATATTAAAAGGATTTTGACCCAAATGAGCATGTTTGTGAGGCGTAAATCGGTCAAATTGTTTAGTTAACAAATAATGAAGTCACAGTGGACAACACAATCGTGTGACAAATATGTGTGTTTAAAATATTTGAAAATTGTTCAAAGAAGGAAAAAGTTTCTCAGAAATAATTGCAATATTGCGCAGAAATCGAGGATTTCGTTATCCTTAAATTATCTTGATAACAGTGTAAAAGTTAATATTATTAGAATAAGAAATATGCCATTGTTTAACATTGATGCTAATCACAATTTAAGTATGTGATTATGTGATATATGCAGTGATTCTAGAGCATGATATGATTATAAAAAACAATGTGTAAACATGTAATAATAATTTACATTCCATGACATATTATTGCTTGCTGATTAGTGGAAATGGAGATTTTCAGACTTGAGTTGCGTGATCAGTCAAAGGACGTTTTAAGGATAAATGTACAAAGTCCTCATATAACTTGGACAAAAACACAGACCAAATAAGTGCTCTGAAATGACCTCAAACATTTATTCACTAAGGCATTATTCATGTCCTATAAATAAGTGTTTAATGTTATTTTATATCAGCAGCATATTACTTTTGTATGTTTCATGCCAAAAATAATTTAGCATTTATATTTGGTGTTGCTTAACCTGCTGGAACAAAATTTAATAAGCCTTTGCCAACAGTATAGAGCCAGGCCGGCCTGGAAGTCTTATATGTATCATCAAAGTCTATACTATTGATATTTCAATTATTGAATTATGATAGTGAAGTCATTAGACTTTGAATGGACTGTTAAAATCCGAAGCAGGGGAAACCCAGTGGTTGCTACTATAATTTACCGTGAATGATGATAAATACTATTAAAAAAATACTGTGAAGATTTTAACGATTAAATATGAAAGTAATTCCACGAGAATACTTGATTGTTATTATCACGCTATCACTGTAAAGACTGCTGGATTCAAACCAAATATGGCTTCACATGAGGATACATGTTGGTTTCCAGATTAATGTTCAAATCCACAACCCAATATTACAGCGAAAGACACTATAATCACTACATTTATGCTCGACACTCGGACATCAGTTCGGATTTATGTTTTACACCGTTAAACATCAGCTTATTATTTTTACATAATATTCAAGTTTCGTTAAATTTGTTTTCAAGATACTTGTGCCTGTAATAATAAGTAGACAATATTTGATCTCTTGTAGGTTTCTTCCTTTTCAGTCAATTAACTATATGTATCATATACAATACAAATCAAAAACTATCATTCATAAAGAAATCATACAAGTAATGTATGTGTATCTGAAATTATCTATATTATAAAGTACTAATACATTTCATGTAGATATCTGAAAATGAAATTAACCAAATTTGATAACAATATAGATTTATACCATCTAACAGAACAAGACGAAGTAATATTTCTTCATAATCATTCTTACAAATGATTAATTATGTTTCCCAAATTTTTGGGAGACATATTGTTTT